CCACTTCCCATAGTCACCTCTTCCCTGTGTCCTTCCCTCCCAGGCACTCCTGCCCCCTGAGCCGCCTCCCTGTGCATACACAGCCCTTCTATTCTCCCATGATTCATCACTGCAAGGAGTGAATCTACCTAATATAAATGTGCAGCTCATATGCCTGTCCTTTGTTTGGCTGGAAGCCACAGGAGTGAGTTCAACTCCAGACCTGAAGGGCAGCTAGGGGCCATAGTCTCAGTGGTTCCATTAGGCTCTATCAGACCAGCAAACCTGGTCCTTTTTTTTCCCCTCAACTGATTTTGAGTTTTGTTCCATATTATTCTCCCATTCTATCCAGGATCCCCTCAGAGGTCCTATAGAGATCCCCCTGTGAGTGGTTCACAGTGGTAGCCAGTATGTGCCCACTTTCATATAACAGCTTTAAAGATGCACTTCTGTGCGTCCCCTTCCCCCAAGCAAGTCTGTCAGTACCTTGAGAGCAGGACGTGTGGTTCACCCAACTCTGCATCTTACACACACACACACACACACACACACCACAGTGCTTGACATACACTGGGCCCCAAACAGAAACAGCATGGCCTGGTTTCCTGAGTCCCAGGGACTTCTTGACTCCTTTTCCAGCACTTTCAGATGAGTCATAACCTAAGGACTCACTGCATTTGGATGGCATGGGATATACATACAGCATGAATCTGTTCCCTTGGATCACTGATGAAGGGCCAATATCGTGGCTACACTGGAGTCGACTCCAACTTTCTGTTTTCATGTGAAGCAGTACAGAAAGCAAGACAGCAAGCTGTTTACTTCCAAACAGCTTAAGAAATGAAACCGCCTTTTAAAAAACCAAAGCAAACTCACTGCCGTGGAGTCAATTCTGACTCACAGCGACCCTGTAGGACAGAGTAGAACTGCCCCCAAATAGTTTCCACGGCTATAAATCTTTAGGGAAGCAGACTGTCTCATCTTTTCTGTGTAGTAGCTGCTGGGTTTGAAATACTGACCATTTGGTTATAGCCAAATGCTTTAACCACTGCACCACCAGTGCTCCTTTCGAACCTGCCTTTACTGCATGTACATTTCTAATGCATTTTGTAAGCATGATATTTCACGATGTCAAGAAATTCCCCACTTTGTTTTTTATTCGTCTAGGAAGTTGTAAGAACTGTGGACTAACCCCTACCGCTGTTTTCTGCAGATATCCTGAAAACCCAGGAGCAAGGGCTTTCAATCTAAGTGACAGGGCTCCCTAGAGGCATATCCCTGGTAAGTGATATTACAAAAGGGAAGTCAAGCTTCCTAAGTACAACGTTTTATAGCATTTCAGTCATCATTTTCCTTAGCAGCACTCGACTGTCTCTGTATCCACTTCAGGTAGGAGCATTCTGGCAACGCTCGGGGCCTGCTGGTTCCTGGCGGCCTCTGTGGCGGGAACCCTGGAGGCAGTGTCCTCACCACTCTGGCCATTCTTTCCTGAGAGCAAAAATAAATGACAAGTGGCAGACTCCTTGATCTTTTCTATCACTTTCCCAACAGACTGCAAGGACTACATATGGAATATGATCACTTGCCCTCCAAATTAAACGACAGAAAAGGGAAAATCAGGGTGCAGACCCCAAAAGACCCGTGGTCCGGCCATGGATGCTAGCTAGCATGCCTGCTGGCCCTCTGCCAGGTGTGGCCTGTGTGTCACAGGGGGGATGCCCCACCCAGCAGGACATGCAGGGCCCTAGGCATGCCATCCCCCCTTTCCCTCCAAGCACTTTCAGTTTCACTCAGGAACCTCAGGAGTAAACCCCTTCTCCTGGGTCTCTCCTGTAGCTGACATCAGTCTCTAACAACATAAAGCAAAGAGCCCTGGCAAGCCCTGGCAGGGTGATACTGATAGGCCGAGTGTGGGCACCAAGAGAAGACAGAAGGATGGCCTATCTCATACCCCAACTGTATATCTACTAGTGAGAGCTCCCCCTGCCCCGCAGTGAGCTGTTTTGGGAATATATAAGCATACAAAAATTCCACATCTGTCTCTGACAACTTACTCCAACCAAAACCTATAAGCAATAAAAGTTAGAGGATGTTTAAGTCAAACCTTCTGCATTTCAGCCTTGTTGACTCACAGGATGCTTATCACTGACCTGCTACCAGCACCTCTTGACACCGATGCTCTAGAGAAGCATCTAGGATGACCACGGCTTCCAATTTCTTTCTCAGTCACACACTCTTTCAGCTGATACTAAGGAACTACGCTTTAAAACATGGTTGTACGACGATAAAAGGATAAATTGATTCCTTTCTCAGCTTATACTGTATTCTCTAATTTAGGGGTTTTTTTTTTCTCACTTAGGAATCCATTTAGCACAGGGGTCCATGATGGACCTAAACTTGAGATAATGATAGTATATTCCTCATTCAAAGAAACTCTCATGACAGAGACTGATAAGACTGATCTCACCAAATTATCTTTAAATCTTTGGTGTCCACTAACATTGCATATTTTAATCTCTATAAAATAGAATGTAATTTTGTATTAAAAAAATGTAACTTTTGCACATTGACTTATATAAATGCACTACTATTACCAGTGAGTCACTGGGTAAGCAAGATAGAGAATGATGCTACCATCTACCAACATGATTTGATCCCGTCCCAAAAGGTTTTCCAACGACAGTATTTAAAAGTTCATCTGACTGGCCTGACATTTATTTAAGGATTTCCACACTTCTGTCCCAACCTATCCATCCGAAGAATCATATAATAAATATTTATTGAGTACTGCTATAAGTCAGGAACTGTACAATACTGGGTGCTGGGGAAACAAAAGGGAATAAGACTCAATTCCATTCCTCAGAAGGAAATTCATTCTAGTTCAGGAGGTAGATGAACAATCAGAGAATCTGAATATATTATGAGTCATGTTGTAACTGAGGGGCTCTGGTGGTACAAA